GGAACGAGGTGGGTCACACACAGCGCCGCTAAACTTGTTGGGCCAAACAAAATACATGGTTTCCAAACACGGAATGGCCGAAAGTTAGGGGGAAGTCAGCAGCCATCACTCCAACCATGAAGCACAAACAAAGTCAGTGGGCCAAGTCAAACGCTATCCGGCGGACACAGTCAAGTGTGAAGGAATCGGAAGGAGTCAGGGAAAGGAGTCAGAGTGCCCGGGCAATGCCCATGAAAAGCTGGCAGCCGCCCCACATACTTTTCCGGCCCCCCGTGCTTCAACCCCATCCGACGGTGCAAGGGTGCCAGTCGAAGGAGCCAGGGCAAGTCAGTAGTGAGCCAGAGTGTCGAATCAGGAGGAGCTCTCAAGCAAGTACGTTTCTGGAAAAGTGTGTCTTCGCTGGCAGCCCCCACATACTTTTCGGGCTGCCCCCTGCTTCAACCCTTTCCCCTTGACCTGTCAACAGGCTTCGCAGAGGCCTTTTTTTTCTGGCATTTCTGTCAGCTGCAAAACACGGCTTTGCGACAGACATCGTTAGACAAAGAAAGGAAAGCGCTGAGCTCCACACCTGAGACAGGCGACGGGTTGCGACGGCTTGGAAACTTTTGGGAACAAGGTGGGTCACACACACAGACATGCATGCTGGTGCCAGCTGGCTGGCTCGCTCGCTCGCTCGCGTGCGCGCCCGCGTGGCACGTGAGCGCGCACGCTGACGCACCCACCCACCCACCCACCCACCCACGCACACGCCCAAGCACCCACGCACCCATCCACTTGTTTGCCCGCCCGCATGCCCGCAGACAGGCGGTGTGCGCACGCTCATGCACACCGCACACCGCACAGCCACACCCATACGCATCCCACAGCGAGGGATGCCGCTCATGGCTTGAAGGTTCCTCAGCCACTAAGTCGCTGTCTCGTGCGTTCCAGTCAGGTGACAGACCTGGTTGCCTGGGCGAAAGCGGTGTTCCAAAAGATCTTCTCCGGCGCGTCCGGCGCTCTCAGTTCCTTGGTTTCGACAAGCATCGACGCCGAGATGTCGTCAGAGCGATCGAAATCATGATGTGCTCCAGTCATGAGGGTTTGCAGCCATTCGTTTGGCTGCTGCACTTGCGTTCAATCATGCAAAACTGGTCACAGTCACTTGCTGTGCCAAACACCTTTGTGGCAAGGGGTAGCTTTCAATCTTCAGTCTGCCGAACTAGGCCTTGAGGTTCAGTCCTGACACTTCCCCACGCTTTAGGTTCAGACTCGAATGAGTTGCTGCCATGGTTGCTTGAAAGGCGCCCAAATTTTCCGGTCGAAAGGGGTGGGTCCACAGGCTGTCGAAAGGTTGATCCATTCAGGCGCGGGAGTCGACACCTTAGACGTGGAGATCAGCGCCATTGCGCCTCGGTGTGGGGTGGTTCCTGTTTTTTTCTACATTAAAAAACACGCAGGAATGCCATGGTACCGCCATGGTACCGCTTCCTCAAGAGCTTCCCTCTGAATTCGGATCCTCCTGGTATGGCATGATTGACGAGCCAGAGCAAGTGAGCATTTTGCGGGTAGCCCTCTGTCGGCAAATGGCCAGGACATCCGGGAGTTCAGCATTTCCAACTTTGTGGGGGAAGAGCTTCTGCAGGCAGCTGCCAACTCAGCCTTCAAGACCGCCCTGAAGGACAGACCTTTGCTGTCCCGGAGGTATTGAGAGCGCCGGAAGGCAAGACTGGCCCAGAGTTGCTGAAATCCGCGGCTTCAAGTTTGCATCCTGACGAGAGGTGGCGTGCCACTGCGGATTAGGATTAGGGATCTTCGACGAGCAACCCCGGACTCAGCGGCCAGGATGAGATCGAAAAGGTCGTGGAGGAGAAAGCAGCTTGGCCGCCGGCATGAGCTCTACATGTTTTTTGTTTTTTTTTTTCTCGGTAAGCAATACATGTTCGTCGCCTGGGGGGTTTCATAACATGGAGAATGCGCATTTGTCCATACATATCGAGATGTCGGTCCATACCAAGTATGTTGGCGGTCCACCAACAATGGTTGGGTAGAAAGGGGCCAGACCGAGACCTTTCGTAAACATCCTTGGCCGGTGGCAAAGTTGCGAATTCCTGTTCAGTTTGCAAGCGTGTTGCTTTCGGTGGTGCATTGCACGATCTTCCGCAGTAGGTTGACATGCTGGGGAGATTAACTTCCCTTCCACTAACATGAGTTTCACAGCTGCCGTTCGGCAGAGAACTAACAAATACTCAGTCTGGTGTTCTTCGCAGGTTGCCTAATTACCAAGAAGCAAGTGCCTGCGGTTCCACCCCTTGGACCACGATCCCTTTTGGCTTTTTGAAGAACCGGCCCTGTTGAATCATGGGGGTTAGCCAAGGGGTCACTGGGCTTCTTCAAAAGTTGATTAAAAAAAAAAAATACTGGTGGCTTCCGTTGAAAGGATCGCCACCTTTGGCGGTTCCAAACAAGGAAATGGCTCGGGAAACCCTCCTGGTTCAGCGTGTCTTTCCCACGAAGCCTAAAGACACCTACCAAGAAAAAGACGGGAGTTTCGTGTCTTGTTTTAAGGGGACCCTTCCCGCCCCCCCCCCCCCCGCCCTGTTTTAAGGGGCCTCCCCTTTTCGGGACAAAAAAACAACGGGAGTATTTCGGTTTTCCTTTGGGAGCCAAAGACCGCCGGCTTCTTGAAGGTCCTGGAGGCGATGAAGTCGGCCATCAACAGCGCGGTGCAGGCCGCGGGCTCCAAGATCCCCGGGACGAGTTCACGCAGGCGGGCAGGCGGAAGCTCCACACTCGGCCGGATCTTTTGAAGGAAGGAATGGACAAATCACCCACCCCCAAGGAAAAATCGCCCAGTGGTTTTCGAGATCTTGAAGCCCCTCTCAAGGTTTTCGAGATCTTGAAGCCCCCCCCCAAAGGAAAAATCGCCCAGTGGGTTTCGAAAAAGATCTTGAACCCCCCCTTCAAGGAAAGGAACAATTGCCCAGTGGTGCCGATGGGTTTTTGGCTGGGCTTTCACAATTTTGGCCGTGAATTTGAATGGGGATGCCTGCCAAAATTCCAAAATGGTCGGCGGACAACAATATGCGGAACCAATGCAATGAGGGAAGCAACCTTTTGCTTCACCCCTTCAAAGATATTCAGCGGGTGTTGACGTAGACTCTGCGGTTGTTGGAGGGGCGTACATTGGCCCGCACGAACGTGTGTTCCCTAATTTCCTGCTTCATCCCTTCAAGCAGTCAATCATCAGAAAATCAGTGGATCAATCTAGCGGCATCGTCCTTCAAGCGTTACATCGGACCCTGCTTGCCCCGTCCACTGGCAGTCGCCTTGCTTGGGGATCCTGCCGCCCCCCTCCTTCTCTGTTCTCCCCCCCCCCCTCGAAAAGAAAAACAAACAAAGAAACGAGAAGAAGCAAAACCGATTTTTAAGTCCAAGCTGGCCTCTTTGCCATTCGACCAATGGGCCATTCCAGCGGTTCATCTGAGCTTAGGCTGGCAACCTGTCAAGAGCCGGGCAGCTGGCTCGTGAGCTCTTCCAGGAGCGCTGGGCTTGGGAGTGCCCTTCTTGCGGGGTAGATGGAGTTGTTGGGCCTCCGGGCATAAGGCAAGTTTTGGGGTGAGGAAAATGCGGGTAGAGGGAGTTGTTGGGGCCTCCGGTCCGGTCATAAGGCAAAACATTTTTGGCGGGGTCTTATTTGGCCTTCTTGGATTTGCTTGGCCCTTGTCTTGATGCTTTATCCTGCCAGCCTGACTGGATTGGTTTGGGGATGAGCAGAACACACCCAGGAAACCCTGGATTTCCTCTGGAATTTCATGACACGAGGGCGGCTGAGCCTCTGGAAGCAGCAGCCCCTTTTAGTTGGAGACATGTGAGACGGGTATGCCCTGGAAGTCACTTGCTATAGCTGCCCGCCCGCGCACAGGACCTTGTTCCTGGGCCTTCCTGCGGCTGCCGCGATGCTCAGCTTGTGGTGACCCTCTTTGGCTCCAGGCGGCCAAGAGGCGCTGACCTTGTCGCAACATTCAGGTGGCGCGACCTGAAGATCCAAAGGAGGCCTAGTTGGCCACAAGCAGGCTTGGGCTTGCGTCGCATCCATAATTCCATGTGAGCAAACTCTTGTGTTTGTCCTAGCCATGGCCCGAAGCCTGCATGCATCGTAGTGAGTTTCTTCCTTGCACGCCTCACGAGGCCAGCAAATATCGCACATGTCCAAGGACCTCTTCCCTTGAAAGTAAGTGGGGTCTGCAGATATACCCCGGCAGTCTCCAATTCAAATGTGATGCTGTTCATTGCTTTTCACTGTGTGGAACTTTGATTGGGGTCCCAGGGCCCCTTGACGCGCGTTGCGTGTTGAACGTGTATTGAAGGAGATCAGGAGGGTGAGGTCCCTGTTCAATCCTTCCAGCGGATGGCGTTGTCGTCGACCGGCAATGCCAAGCAGTTGGGAGTGTTAACGCTGCAACTCTGCCCTCAAGGGGCGGAGGTTGCCCTGGACTCGTACTGGTCGCTTTTCTCGGGTCCGCGCAACTATCGTACCCCCTCCGGCTGTGGGAAGAGATGGAGAATGGCCGTCCCCCCCTTTCAAGGAACTCTAGACCTTCAACTACCACCCCCTTTGTACCTGGAGGGGGGGAAATGACATTTGTAGCCCCCCAACAAGTTCAGGACGCTCGGGAGGAGGGGCAGGGACGTTGAATTTGCTGGACAGGATTATATATCCTGTTTGGCGGGGGCATACGAATACGATGTTCCATGTTGACATCCAAGCGATGCCAATCATTATTCAGCTTGGCGGCAAGCTCAGTGCTTGCCTTGACTGCCTTGACCGCGGCAAGTGAGAAAAGCGCGGGCCGCTTACCCACTGGCAAGGCGCCGTTGCGGGTACTTGGTACACCCGGAAAATGGTTTGTTTTCTTGAGATGCGACTCGCTGACCAACGGATGAGGCAGGTAGTTGATTCTGATGCGCTCCCCTCCGAACGCCTTGGCTTGGATGACCTGGGGGCCGCCACACTGTAGGTTCCGGCAGTGGTTTGCTGGCAAGGCCGGACAGGCGCGAGGCGAAGAGGCGAAAACCCAAGGGGACTTCTGGCGCAAATGCCCTTTTGCACTTGGCTCGGTTTGGGGCAACTGGCCGTTCAACTTGCATGGAACCCTTATGCCTTTTGGAGCCTGGCGTGGTTTCCTGCAAACTGTGGAGCAGGGCTAGGTTTTTTGCAAACGGGCCGGTAAAGAACAGTAGCAGTGCCAGTTGAGTGTAATTTGCCCTGCCTCGAGACAGCTACGAATGCATGGCAAGAGAAGCACTTGTCCTGGCCCCTTTCCCCAATGTCTTAAACATCGGACAAAGTTTAGGGCTGAGCTCCATTTTTCACGCTTTCTAGCTTGCTACGCTGACACATCAAGGCAAGGTTGGATGTTAACTTCAGAAGGATACAGACGGCGAAGAAAAATATTCCTCAACTATATAACTTCCAGGAATATATGTATATATATATATATATATATATTTTCCCACGCGCAGGGGGCCCACCTGCCAGACCCAAATCCCTGCCAAGAGCCTGAAGCCGCTGGGCCTGCGGAGGTGCAGCCGAAGTCGAAGTGATGGAGCGATGGGGCTGTCGGGCTTTGGAGGTCAAAGTATCCCATTTCACCGGGACGCCGTACCCGTCAAGAAAGAAACGGTTGTACCCGGCTTGGGTTTTAGGCTGCTAGGAAGCAGTGGTTTAGGGCTGGAACGGGATTGTTCATCACACACGTGGTGAACGGTGGGAAGGGTCCGCTCGTAGGAACTGGGGTATGCCTTTCAGCCTTGGTCTGGCTGGCTAGGCCGAAGGGGCACAGTTCAATGATGCACAAGGGCGCATGGTTTGGAGGTTCAGAGCTTTTGTAACGTGGCCCAAGTGGAAGCAGTCCGTTCGCTGTTTGATTGGCCACGTTGATTTCTTACGAAATCGAACAACTACTGAAACCAATTGGAGCAATGCGAAGGGCCGGGTCCAGTTCGATCGGATTGGACCAGTTGCACTAGCTGGACTGCGCATTGGGCTGTGCGAGCTGGCTTCTTTGCCTCACTTGAGCCACGCCTCACCCGCACAGGCACCCGCCCTGACGGGGACTGCAGGCTGGTCCTGGTGCTTGCAGCCTGAGGTTGGAAGATTGGATCCGGGGCCTCGCGTGAGGTCTGACTTGCTATCCTCGTCGTTTCCTGCAATATGTTGACGGAACCTCGTGGGGTGTGTGCCTATAACAGCCGGGACCGCAGGGAGCTCCCAAATTCGGGCTTGGAGTTCGCCGGAAGCTCGCCTTTGGCCCGGGAGCTCTCGAAGCAAAAGCCGACACCAGCGCTCAATCACTGACTTCAATCACGGCACCGTCGTTCAACCCAAGCGTGTAAGTATGCATACCACCCTCCCTCCCCCGCTCCGCGTCGCACTACCCCCTTCTCCCTAACAACATTGCCCCCCTAAAACAGACACTACACCTGCGGAAACTATTAGTTATTTATTATTTGAACAGGAGGGATGCCAGGTCGAACAAGGGTCAGCTCAGCAAAGTGTCCCCTGCGCCGTCCCCGGGCGTTGGCCTGTGCCTTGGGGCACTAGCACGATCGATAGCCTTCGATCAGAGAGCATGTCATAGTTGCTTCCGCTTGAAAACTGCCATGCACAGTGAGTGTTGAACTTGCAAGCTTTATTCGTGGATTGCGACCCAGCATGCTGCACGGCTGGTGGCAGGTTACATTTGGCTTTGTGGTTACCTGTGCTCTGGCAAGCGAACACTACTGCCTGGATTTGGGTGAGAGATGGCGGGCGCTCTTGTTGAATGTCTTGTCTTATGTGGCAACTGGACAGTCTGGCCCCATGCCATGACAAACTGATCCGTGCGCATTTGCCAGCGGAAGTTGGTGCCGGAGATGTAACTCAGAGCTTCAGACTGGAAAAAGGAGGTGTTGCACATGTTCCCAAGCAACGCATAATGTTTCATGGCGCTCGCCCATGTTCAGCATTGACCACATGGCAGCTCGATCTGCAGAATTGCACTCGCGCAACGTGCGCGCGCTCGACAGGCCTTGATTCGCGCGGGGATGACCCGTGGTTCGCTGGCAAGGACCCTTGGGCCAAGCCAGGCGGGGCACGATGTGTCTAATGGGGAAGCCGCACAATGGGTGATATTTTCTTGCTGCCCCCTTTAATACAAAGCAACCCGGCAAAAACGGCAGACTCAACAAAAGACGCGCAATTCTACCTTGGAGATGGCAGGCAGAACGCAGCAACTATCTCCGAAGCTTCTTTGTTCGGGTTGATGGGAGGGTAGGTGAGAAGAAATGCACTGAATGCGGAAATCACACATGAGCCAGCGGCAGTTGCTTTTGTTGGTAAAGGTTGACGGTGCACACCTGGGAGCAAACTCGTATGGCCAGGCATGTTCATTCACGTGTAGCTGTAGCCATGGTAGGTTGTGTATCCTTCCATTTGGGATGTGTGGAGCACCTTGTTGAATCCAGAATTGAAGCCTTGAAGTCCATTCGATTCCTCATGTGCAGCCAAGGTGTCAAACAAGTCAGATCTTTCACTCTCCAGCTGAGAGGAGGTCCTCCGGACAAACGGCATGTGCCCAGACGATTCAGCCGCCAACAGGACAAAGAGTTCGCACAACTCATGTTTTACCAATGGCATGTCTAATCGCAACTCCTTGTCGTCTTATGCGGCAATGTTGGCATTCTCCGCATAAATGAGTAAGTTGCCACATTCTGTGCCGTGTGCCTTTCAGCTTTGGGGCTGGTTGGTTGGAGCTTGCAGAAGCCTGGTATCTCCGACCTCAGTCAAGCCCTCCCAAGTCGGTTTTTGGCACCGGTAGCACAACTTTGCTTGCAGCACAAAGGGTCCTTGACCCTTTGGAGAGGTGTGGCTCCGTTGAACGGAGGCGAAGGCTGGCCTGCAGGAGGGGGGGGGAATGGATGCTGTGCACATGCTGTACTCATCGTGCTTGGTAAAAAATCGCTGGGTTAGGCGCTGAAGTTCGTTGAAGCTGCGGATGCCATAAACGCCTCATGTCAGCCAGGCCGAATGGACTAGAGACACTGCCGAAAATCCGAAAAGCTGCATTGTCTTTGGGACCTGGGCTGCTCGGGTCCTTGGATCGGAGCAGGCTAGGGCTCTTTAGCCTCAAGCTTAGGATTCTACCAACAATTTTATCAGCATCTACCGGAGATATCATGTTCAGTCATAGCTTTCGTGGATAAGGTGGCCGTCGTTCGACCCGCAGCTCTACTAACTATTATCAGCGTTTACCAGAGATAGCATGCTCAAATATAATTTCCTTGGATGAGGTGACCTGCAGCAGGCTGGCAGAATGTGGGTAGATTAGATATGCTCTATTATTCACCTGTCCAAAGGGCACGCATTGCAAACAGCCATCAGCTGCGTTCGGGTTTTTGCTTGCAAGTAGACGCGCATCCAGATCTAGAACTGTGTGTTTCTTCATTGAACAACTTGACAGTACAGGCATGTATCCTCCTTGGGCAGAATGATGGTTCTTTGTTCTTTTTTTCCCCAAGCCTTCCCAAAATTCCTGCCTATTTGGCTCCATTTGGTGGACTCCCGCTAGGCCCCAAAGATGGACCACGCACGGAGCCGAGCAGTGCCCCCAATAAGCCCTTGGCATTTGATCTTCCCCATTTTTTGCCCTCGTGTCTCCTCGGCCTTCACTCAGTTGCCCAAAGCGAATCGACCTTTTAACCTGTTGTTTTTCGTTCCGGACCCATTTTTAGTCATGGTCCCAAAAGGGGGCGAAAGGGGATCACCTTTTTTATTTCCAGGTGCCTAAGGGGCAGCTGAGCTCATGTTCTCTCCGATTTGTGTTCAGATGTTCCACGGGTTCTTTTGGCCTGAAGGGACCTGAAGGAACAGCTCCACACTTGCTCCGTCTCGCTGCGACCAGTCTGGGTTTAAATGGATGATCTCCGGCGCAATTTTTTTGTTTTGAGCGGCACGCTGCCGAAAAAATTACTCTTGAAGTGGCGCTTGACTTCATGAGTTGTTGTTTGAGTTGGGAAGATTCAGGACAGGCACTTAGTTAATCCCCGCGAAAGTTGTGTACGCACGTGAGAGGGTGAAGCGCAGCTGAGGCTCACCGCCGCTGCCGAAAGAGGAACCATTGCCTGGTGCCGGTGCCGTGGCATGGTGAAGTTCCATGAAGGGTTGCGATCCCCACCCCCTTCAAAATGGAACTGGGGACGGGGGGTGGCCCCTGGAGATCTTCATTTAGGCTTCCATTTTCCCTTTTGTGTGGAAGACTGAATAAATGGGATTGTGGGACCCCGCAACCCCCTCCCCCTTAAGGTAGGAGGGATGGGTTGCGTATGGCCCTCACGTGTGGGCGTGTGTGTGTGTGTGTGCGCGCGTGTGTCTGTGCAATTAAAATGTTGGTTTAGTCGGACATGAAGAAACACACAAATCAGTTACCAACCAATCACCACATCATCGCGCCACCAAAGAGTCACAGCCAAGGAAGAGACAGTCGCAATCAGTTATTTCACTCAACAATGTCGTAGCTGCGCAAAGGAGAGACCATACCCCCTGAAAGGAATCGCGCTGATAATAGGGGGAAGCTGGTCCATTTCCTTACGGATGTATTGGCCACTAGTGTATGTGCCAGCTGGCACTCATTCCACTCATTGGTGGATTGCCTTTTCACCTTGGGTCCCGCTATTTTTGTCTACTTGAGGTCTCACAATTGGGGACCCTGAATATTGGTGGTGTCCTTTTGTTTCTTTTTAAGCCACCCTAAGAAGGATACCATCATAAAAAGACACACCCATTTTGAGACATCCCCGGATGGGACAGCACTTTGGCTTCAACTGTTTTCCCGTGTTCTTGCACAGCCCTCCCGATCCACTTTAGAAGATTTCCTTTGCTTTGGGCCCCATACTCAGATCTGAGCCGACTTTTTTTGCACCAAGTGCCCGAGTTTTGCTAGACATCAACTTGCACGCCGAGGTCAAGATCCGTCACACCCTGCTGTCACCAATGGCGCCGGGAATGGCTCCCCGGCGCCGGTCACAACTGGACCGCACGTCTCAAGAGCCTTGTCCAGACGGTGAGGGAGGATATTCGCGGGGGCAATATGAATTTATCCGGCGGGCGTAGCCTGACGTTCGGGACCCAGTGCATTTAAGAGGAAAATTGACGTCCGGGACCCCCCGAAACGTCGGGTTCCATGTTGTATGTATAGACTTCCGAAATTTGTGTATGAACAAACGCAATCCCTTTGGGCAGAGTGGATGCCAACGAGACACATGCTGTCAACATTTAAACATGCGCATCCCTGAAAAGTATCTTGGGTGAGAAACTGATCTCATGAAGGTTGAAGGCAACATCAGGATGTGAGCAACTCAACTGCCAAGCGTAGGCAGAAGTCCAGTGATTTCCAAGGAAAACCTCTTGAGTGCCATGCAGCCGGACGAACATCCCGGTGGCCCATGGCGACATGCGAAAGGTTCTGGAATGCCACACGCAGGGAGCAGCTAAAACCAGCTTGGGAGGGTTTCGCCGTTGATTGCAATCTTCCACCCTCCGCAAGCGCAAGCTTCCCATCGCTGTTTGGCATCTGCTTTTGTTGCTGTTGGCGGCTGTTTTGGCGGTCCTTGGCTTTAGTCTTCGCCTCATCCGTGCGCGGCTTGGGTCATCCTTCCATGCCAGCGGGCCGCATGGAGTTGCATTGGCCATGCAAAGCCATTCCCTGAGCGCACGGAAGGATTGGAATGCCCCATGTTCTACTCCGGATTTTCTCAAAACAGACTCCCAAAATGGTGGCTTCCTGAATGTCAACCCCGATCATTAATACACCTCTGGCTGATGAATAGCTTTGATATTGTTTGCAGGCCGTCCGTACGCGAGCTTGCCCAACCCAAAGCCGTTGCTCCTTGCGGAGCAATGACCTTGCAACCAATTGGATGATGTTTGACAAGCGGGTGCAGGTAACCGCAACATGCTGCCTGTGACAGCCTTGGCCTTTTCAAAACTTGTGGAACCTTCACCATGGCTACGTGAGGACCATGCTCCACGTATTTTGAAGACACGCAAATGAACCGCAACTGACATGGGGCCCGGGAAAGGTGCATGTTCCATGTCGCTTGGCTGCCCAGGCGAGGCCTGGCGCAGCTGGTGGTCCTCCCCAGAGCCTTGGCCAGGCAAGTTAGGAAGCCGACCAAACACCAATATGTCAGCACACCCTTAAACCCTTGACTGCTATTCGGTTGGATCTTTAGACTTTAACGTTTCAGGAAATACAATCGTGGTTTCCACAAAAAAAAACAAAAACAACAAAAAGTGATACACTGTTTGCAGGGGGGGTCCTTGCAGCAACCAAGAACCTGTTCCGGGCCTCTCCACGCCAAGGGGGCGTCAAGCAACCCGAATCAATGCGTGAAAGATGAGAACAACAGTCACCGCCAGAGCAGAAACGGACCATGGACTGAAACAGCATCATGAGTTCACACTGTGATATCCTCTACTGCTATTGTGTTGGATCTTTAGACTTTTGGTCGCCCCTTTTCTTTCCTTTTAACCTGCAAAAAGTTTAACTTTTTGCTCCCGCATCTTCATGTTCGGTAACATGGCCGGACTATGTCGGACCAAGAACCGGAGGTCAGATAGTTTAACTTTTTGCTGGGGGATCTACAGCACTCCGACGACAAAGTCCAGGCGACTGGTCCCTGAGCACAGAATGGGTTTCTCTGAGCTCAGGACGGGGGATGGCCAGTGGCTCAGCATGGAATGGCCCATCCTAGCCTGGCAGCCCCAAGCTTTGGGGAGGCCCCTGGGGGGTTTTGATCAAAATTTTCAGGAGGGTGATGAGGTCGAGGTTTTCTGCGCAGGGATTGCGAGAGAGCGCGGGCTCCGGGCGTTTCTGGTGTTTTGTTGCCCATCGTGCCATATAAGTTGAGCCATGTTAACTCCACGAGTGTGCAAGCTTTCACCTTGAGTGGGTAAGTGGGTATGGGTCAAAATTAAACCAGCAGGGGGACCGCAGGTTGTGGCCCATGTTTCCATTTACCAGGGTTCCATTTTGGGTACGTATTTTGGACCCACAGCCAAGTGTTGGCGTTTACATGCAACCAGCAAACAACGGATTCCTGAACAGTCAGCATGTCATCAATGGCAGCTTGAGGTCAAGCTCCTGGTCGAGCTGGGATGGGTCCTGGAACCTCGGGCATGATGGGCTCGGGATTTTAGCAGGCGGACATGGTTTTGTCGGTGTTTTGCTTTTCTCCCTCAAGTCTGTTGAACAAGTACAGGAGGTTTGGTAAAAATTTGAAGGGCAGACAGTCTCGGAAGCCAGAAGTGTTTTGCGTCGCCTCCGAGTGAAGGGGATTTTAGACATTTTAGATGTGTGCAGGTGCCGCCCGGATGACAAAGGAAAGGCCATCAAGTTGTCACCGTGGCATTGGTTTCTTGGTGGTTCATCCCCTTGGGTTTTTAGTTTTTCTGGGTTTAGCGGGGGTTTGCATTTAACACTAAGAGCGAGTCACTTTTAGAAGGGGATCTGAGGACAGCCCAAGTTTGGGGATCCATAAGGGCGTGGGCAGACCCAAGGCTTCGTCACCCATGAATTTTCGGCCGTGGCCAGGTTCTCTCAACAGATCAAGAGAAGTCGCATTCGGCGGGTCGGCGCAAGTAGGCTTATGGTCTCTTCGGCCGTCGAATGGTTACTTCCGAGCAAGGCAATTTACAGAGGAAATCAAGCACTTTGGTTTGGTTTGGAATTGGCTCTTTACCAGTTCGTACTTGCCAGCTTGCCAGTGCTGTTTGACATCAATTGTTGGTCTAGACATGTGGCCACCGGGAGCAAGATCAGTTTGCATGCCCTGAACTTTGCCTTTCAGGTTGGGGACGAACTTGGGCATGCTGCCATGAGGGAAGTTCACCATTCAGGGAAAAGCTGCTTGGATATTCCTTGCTTCCTTCTTTTCCCCTCTCCTCGCCTGCCTGTTGCGGGTTGCCACGCTGCCTGGCAAGTCTCGTGGCCCGAGGAGATGAGCGCGTCTCATTGTCCAGCGAGTCGCAACACTCCCGTGCGAGTCGGCAGCGAGTCGCTGAAAAGTGGCCGGGGGCATCGTGCGGCAAGCCGTCAAGCCCTATGCCATGTGGCAGTGGACCATGCCTTTAAAATCCTTCCTTGAAAACAACATGAGAGATGCAGAGCCAGTACGGATTGTGGGGCCTTCCCAAATAAGCCAAAACCTCTCTCCTGCCACTGAGCAGGGTTGACAGTATTTTTGTTGGCTTGTATTCGTTTAGTATTCGATGGGGCGCTCTGCTAATGCTGCGCAGGCCCCGTGGAGGCACACCTGGTGAAAAGGATTGTTTTGTCGCTTAGGCTGTTCAGAGCAGGTTCGCGTGAGCGTGTTTCGCCATCAAGTTCTGTGACCAGAAAGCCCAGGCCTGCCCAGCGTATGGTAGACCCTGCGTAGGAATCACGGGCTCGCAGGCAAATTGGTGGCGAGAGGCCTAGAATCAGCTTGTTTCAAGAATCAGCTTGTGGCGAGAAGCAGGTGCGCCGGAGGCGACACAATTGTATGAGCTCACGGTTCAGGGCGGGTAGCGCATAGGCATGGCGTCCAGGCCCGGTACACCGCCCCAAAACAGCCCCAAACCGGGTCCGCAGTTGAGCTTCGGGGGACCCCGCGAAGCCTCTCGCGCAACCCCGCGAAATTGACACTGGCGAAGCCACTTCGCAAAGCCTCGTGGTTATAATGTTTTGGGCTTCCGAACTTCCATATAGTAGTAGCATGCAAAAAACTGATGTTTAGAGTCACTTTGAGAAAGTGTTGGGATAGGATTGCTTGCGCTGTGGGCGACGAAGCCTTGCAGTACCAAAAGTGCCTTCTCAAACAAGTTCAAGCAAACGAAAACCCGATCATAAAAGTTGTTCCGCGAAGCCTCTGCGCGAAGCCTCTCCGCGAAGCCACATCTTGCCGCGAAGCCTCGCGAAGCCAACCCTTCCACGGATGCTGCCCCGAGTAGCCTCCCCAGTGTATAAACCCCGAAGTTCTACAAAAACAACGCTCGGTTGTCTTGACAGCCTGCCAATGTGGGGAGTGGCTGCTCCTCGGAGGACCCTCTCAACGGCTAGCTTTATTTGTTTTCAGCGTTTCGCAAAGAGTTTCTGGTTTGACACAGTGCCAAGCCAACTTTGAAGCTAATACGCGGGGGCATCCCGTATTCACACATGCCCCGCCTCGGCTTGCTTCGCCTTGCTTCCTTCAGCGGCAGCATTCTTGCTTGCGTGGCCATTTGGCACAAAACTGGCACACAGTTGAACTGGGAGAGGATCCCAGTTCAACAGTGACATAAAGGCAAGCCTGCCGGTGCGCATGCTGAGCCGGTCCCATCCATGAAGATCACACACGCTCGGAGGAGTCAGTCTGGCATTGCCCGACCAAACAGCATCCAAGACTTGACTTCCGTTAAAGCCAACCACGAGCCAGCGCATCATGTGGAGACTCCTTACAACCCTTCTGCCCAGCCAAGTTGCAAGCCAACATTTCCCAATTTAGGTCAAGTCCAACCCCCACGAGCCGGTTTGTCAGCAGCCATGGGCGGGACCAGCTTATTTGGCCCGGTTGTTCTGGCCGGGGAGCCAGGTGGATCTGACATCGCCTGACCACAGTGTTGGTTGGCACCGGCAGAGGGAATTTGCGCTTTGCCCATAAGCGAGGAAAGCAAGTGCAAGCACAATACACGCCAAAGCGGCTGCTCGCACGGCCAGCGGAACATGTTGCACAACCTCACGAGCTTGCGACCTCACAGATAAAGTTGTTGCAGCTGCTAGGCGACTGCGCTTTGGTACCCTGGGGATGCAGCTCCCTATGCCGCCGGCGGGCCCAGGGTGTGAGGGTGAATCCCGACACAGACACCGCCCACGAAGGGAAGCTGAAGTTGTGAACTTTGTTGATTTGCATGAATTTGCAACTTTCTGTGGGAACTATCCCCTGGGAAGCCTCTGCAACTTCGTCCCAGCTTTTGAAGACAACGTCTCTCGCGAGGAAGCGCCCGCATTGTTGCGCATGGCAATGAAACCTAGTAAAATCAGAACTCCGGACCCCAGCATTTTCACCGATCTGCACTAGGATGACCTTATCACCGGTTCTATACACACGTAGTACAATATATCCATCTATATGTGTATGTAGAGTATGTATATATATATATATATATGTATATATACATATATATGTATATGTATACTAATATGCAAGCATAGACATTTATTTTCTGGGCCTGCGGCCTCTAGCCGGCTACGCCTCTTTGAAGTAATACCATGTCATGTCATGTTTATTGTATGAGAGACGTATCCTGTGCTATGATATGGCTGGTTAGGTTATGCAGGTTGCCCACCCCAACCCCAGATGACGCCGGGGATGCCAGCTTTCTGGGCCCCAGCCGGGCCCCAACCCAAGGCTGACATGGGGTCGCGCGCGCGCGCCAGAGGCCCCAGAAACAGCAGCCCAAAAAGAACAGCCCGCAAGCCAGCAAATGCAACAAAGCACCGTAAATAGCAGCCTTTTGTGGCTGGGGTCGCGCGCGCGCGCCAGAAGGCCCGAAAACCAACGCGAAAAAAAGCAAGGACCGCGCAGCACGCGAGCCAGCCACAGCAAAAGCAAAACGGACAGAACAACAGCCCAACGCGCCCGGCAGCGCTTGGCGCCAAAATGCGCAAAAATGAGCCTCGCTTATATCCCTCCGATACCTTCTAAAAAAAGTGCTTCATGGGTTGAGAGGCTTTTTGGAAGGAAGTCTTGATGATGCAGACCAAGCCCCGCTGAAGCATCACCCAGGCCCAACCCCAGACCCTGGCGATGTCAGCCACATGGCCTAAACCCTGCATATACGCGATGTTTTGCAAAGGGTTTCCCACAGGCAAGCAAAACCACAAGCCCGAGCTGGTGATGCAGAGGTGCCGGATTTAGGCAGCGCATCACGACCAAGTGGCGAGGGTCGGCGGCACAAGGGTGCAGCCCCTATAGCTAAAGCTAGCAGGCTAATTGCCTAGCGGCGACATGCTACCCCAGGAGGCGTAGCCGGATCTAAGGGCTGCCGCCCTGTGCCGCCGCCCCCGGCTATGACTACGCGATTTTTTGTCGGGCTTAACGGCACACTTAAAACATATATGAAAAAGGAGAGCACCAATCATCATGCTTTTGATGATGCAAATTATTACCCAACATTAGGGATGCTGATATTTGTTACTACGCATTCGCATTATCGCGAGCAGTCATGATGATACCTGTTACTTTGCATGTTTTGCATCACCAGCAGTTGTTATGAAAATTATGACGACGCATTCCCTGCATCTCAAACAAGCTACGTCAGGATTAATTCGCATGATAATGAGCACCTTATTGGATGTTACAAGAAGTGCTCTCAGTGTGTGGAAACTTGGGCAGGAAAGCCATGTTGGGGGCACTTTTTTGTTCACAAGACTTCGTTGTATTGCTGTGGGTGCAAAGGTTTCATCGCTTCGTATTCGCGAGAAGATCACCGATTACGCATCCCCTACATTTCCAGTCGGGTCAAAATGATCATGATGGTGATGATGATGCTGATGATCCTGATGATCATCACTACGCATCCCCAGCATCACCAGCAGTTGCCGTGATGACATCCTGATGAGAATCATCACTGTGCATCCCCAGCATGACCAGCAGTTAACATAACAAGCATGACTATGCATCACCTGCATTCCAAGTCGTGTCTGGCGGCAGACCTGAAACGTATATGAAACAGAAGAATGCTGATGATCCGGATGGGACACTGATTCAGGTTGCCATGGGCTGCAATTGCGGACTGGCTACCTCAGGCCACTCTCTGGGTGGCCTTTGGCTAATAGAGCTTGGCCAGCCTTCGGTTTGACTCGCCCGAGGTGCAGCAAGCGGCAAGCCGCGCCCCAAGTCAAGCCCAGCAGCCGCAGAAGATCCCGGCGCCGGACGCACCGGCGTCGCACATGCCCTCAGGCTTCTTCCTGGTCCTGTCCCTGGTGCTGGGGGCAATTTGGATCTATGCGTGCCATGCTCAGAGAATAGAGATGTGGAGTGATGTGGGTAAAAGCGCCAGCCGACATTCCCCAATGGGTTCTGCCCCCCCCCCCCCCACCCTCGCCCCCCCCTCCCCCTCCCCCTCCCTAGCATTGCGTCTGACAGCTGAGACGAGGCTGTGGGCATTGCAGGCTCGGCCTAGCGCCCCTTTGCGTCAGGAGGCCGGGGTATGAGGAGGGTCCAGAGGGGTATGGTTGTGCTGATGGCTTGCCTGCTGGCTTGCGGGCCTTGCTGTTTGCTGGTGCTGCCGCCGCCGCTGCTGCCGTATGTGTTGTGCTGCGAATGTGATTGTGTTTCTGTTTTGCTTGTTTTCCTCATATTATGTGATTGGTTGATCGGTTCACGGATTGTTTGGTTTGATTTCATTTGATTTGGTTGATTCATTGATTGATTGGTTGATTGATTGATTGAGTGATTGATTGATGGATGGCTTTGTTGCTTTGCTGCTTGCTTGCTTGCTTGCTTGCTTGCTTGCTTGCTTGCTTGCTTGCTTGCTTGCTTGCTTGCTTGCTTGCTTGCTTGCTTGCTTGCTTGCTTGCTTGCTTGCTTGCTTGCTTGCTTGCTTGCTTGCTTGCTTGCTTGCTTGCTTGCTTGCTTGCTTGCTTGCTTGCTTGCTTGCTTGCATGCTTGCTTGCTTGCTTGCTTGCTTGCTTGCTTGCTTGCTTGCTTGCTTGCTTGCTTGCTTGCTTGCTTGCTTGCTTGCTTGCTTGCTTGCTTGCTTGCTTGCTTGCTTGCTTGCTTGCTTGCTTGCTTGCTTGCTTGCTTGCTTGCTTGCTTGCTTGCTTGCTTGCTTGCTTGCTTGCTTGCTTGCTTGCTTGCTTGCTTGCTTGCTTGCTTGCTTGCTTGCTTGCTTGCTTGCTTGCTTGCTTGCTTTGCTTTGCTTTGCTTTGCTTGCTTGCTTGCTTGCTTGCTTGCTTGCTTGCTTGCTTGCTTGCTTGCTTGCTTGCTTGCTTGCTTGCTTGCTTGCTTGCTTGCTTGCTTGCTTGCTTGCTTGCTTGCTTGCTTGCTTGCTTGCTTTGCTTGCTTGCTTGCTTGCTTGCTTGCTTGCTTGCTTGCTTGCTTGCTTGCTTGCTTGCTTGCTTGCTTGCTTGCTTGCTTGCTTGCTTGCTTGCTTGCTTGCTTGCTTGCTTGCTTGCTTGCTTGCTTGCCTTCTTCTTTCTTGCTTGCTTTGCTTTGCTTTGCTTTGCTTTGCTTTGCTTTGCTTGCTTGCTTGCTTGTTTGCCTTCTTCTTTCTTGCTTGCTTGCTTGTTTGCCTTCTTCTTTCTTGTTTGCTTGCTTGCTTGCCTTCTTCTTTCTTGTTTGCTTGCTTGCTTGCTTGCTTGCTTGCTTGCTTGCTTGCTTGCCTTCTTCTTTCTTGCTTGCTTGCTTGCTTGTTTGCCTTCTTCTCTCTTGCTTGCTTGCTTGTTTGCCTTCTTCTTTCTTGTTTGCTTGCTTGCTTGCCTTCTTCTTTCTTGTTTGCTTGCTTGCTTGCTTGCTTGCTTGCCTTTTTTGCATGGCGTTGCTTTCTCCTAATTTGCTTTGCCTTGCTTTGCTTGTTTGCTTGCCTGCCGCCCGCCTGCCTGCCTGCCTGTCTTCTCCTGCCCTCTGCTTATGCGTGTTGATTTGTGTTTACTGCTTGCCTTGTTTGGGGCATTTGTGTTGCCACTAGGCCGTTCCTCACGGGCAAAACTGAGAGGGTTGAATTCTGAGACCGTTTAGAAAGTTTCAGCATGTGCTTCCTTCTCAGCCGGCAAGCGTTGAACAACGGTGTGCTTCCACGGCCCCTCGTGGTTGGATAAGCTTATCCATTGGCTGCCGGCATCCGCTGAACCTGTGGACTTGGAATCTTTCAGCTTGACTTGGATTGTCTACTTGTCGCTTGCTGGCTCAAGTTTCTGTTGGCTCGAGAGGACACTCGCCTGAGTTCCGTAAATTTTCGATCTTGAGCCATGGCATTGCGCTACTACCGCACGTTCATCGACGAAGTGGTCACCATTGAGAATTCCAAGACCGAAGAGAAGCGCGCTTGCAGCATGCCGCCTACAGGTACATGCCTGGAGGAGGAGTGCGAAGAGGAGTTGCGAGCTCAGGTGGCGTGCCTCGCAGAGCGAGCTGCCCACCTTGAGCCGCTGCCGCGTGCTGTAGTAAAGCAGGTACAGATGGCGGGGAGTCGTGGACATCCGGACCTTTGCCGCCGCCCGTGCCTGCATTTTGCCGTGGGCGCATGCCTTCACGGCGAGGAGTGCTTGTATTGTCACCAGCCTCACCCAGAGCGCGCCGTGACCCTGGACAAGCGCCAGCGCCTGCTGCTGGGAAACCTCCCAGAAGCGGACCTCCTCGAAATGCTGGTGCTAGCCTTCGAAGCCAAGCTGCGCGGTGTTGCCGAGCCCTGTGCCGCCCGCATCCGCGCCTTCCTCGAGGTGTTGGAGAGGGCCGCGGCGGGCGTGCCCGAGGGGCGCCGGGTGGCTTTGCAGGGGAGGCTCCAGGTGGACCAGCGGAAGCTCCAGCAGAAGTTGCAGCAACTGAGCTTGGCCAACCTTTTTGGCGTCACCGCCAGGGTTGCCTCGGCTGAGTTGGCCACACGATCCTGGGAGGCCTTGGAAAATCTGCGCCACCTCAGCGATTCGCTGTGAAATGCGCTTGTGCAATGCCAAGTACCACAATCAAAACCTTGCGTAGATGAAGGTGAGGGGAGGGTCCCAAACAGAAATGCGCGGTCGCCCTTTTGATTCTTTGCATGGTTTTGGGTCGACCAGTTCTTCATACCAGGCTTTGATTGTGACATTCGGCCTTGCGGAGCCAGCGTTTTGCAGATGCTCGGCCTTGATATCAGCCTCAGCCAGTATTCCAACTAATCTCCCATTCTTTCCAAGGATTCGTTTGTTGGAGAAAATGTCTGAAACCCATGTTCCCTTGGCAAGCTTCTCAAGAAGACCTAGTGACATCAATGTTTCAACTTTGGAGAGGAAATACATCGACTCCGGCCGGTTCCAGAAAGCTCCCAAAAAGGCGGGGGAACACCGCCTTTGGGCAACCGGGACTGGCAAGTGGTCCGCGTCGAGGAGCTGAACAGTGATAGAATTAGTATGTTATATAAGGACTTTCTTTGGCATGTCACCTCAACCGCACGGAGCGTTTGTTCGTTTTAGGTTTCCAAGAAGACAAGCAGGACCGAGCTGTCGCAATGGCTTGACAGCTTGGCCCATTTCAAACTACACTTTTCAGTTCGCGCGCAGGCCACAGATCAACGGCTGGGGCGGCAGGGGGTTGGCGATTTTCGTGATGCTTTTTTTTTTTTTGGCGGGAAGGGTTTTTTTTTTTTTTTTTTTCCGTTGGCCTTCCTTGCGCCCCAGTCCCATGGCTTTCGTGTTTTTTCTTAGCCCCCGCTCCTGGGCAGGGGCCTTTTTTTTGGCGCCAGCCAGCAGTCGCGGCAGACGCCGGATTAATCCGTCGGCATGTACATTCCCGGCAGTGGTTTGCCATGTTCCGCCGGCGTTCCCTAGAAAGTCACGTGTTTTTTTGTTTTTTTGGGGGGGGAGGGGGGGGGCTCGCCAATTTCGATCGCCCCTAATTTTTCACACAAGCCAACAGTTCGATGCTTTGATGCAAATGCCGGCGGAGCAAGCTATGTGGCCTAGAGTCTGGAGACCTTTGGGTGACCTTGAAGCTTGATCCGAGCAGCGATTCCAACATTTTACGCTACCGGATTCTGTGATGACTTGCCTTTTTCCAGCCGAGCTCAAAGCGGCTGCAGACTGAGCTGAAAAAGCAGAGGCGTATTGTACATTGTTGGCCTTCTTGTTTCCTGACGGTTTGGGATGCTGGCATGCTCACATCTATCGGTTGAATCCTGATGTTAGCAGCTCTCAGACAGAAGACGGCGCGAGCAGAGTGCCCACGATTTTGCCGTGCTCCTTGCGAGCCAAGCTCCACATGCTTTTTGAAAGCCTCGCTGAAATTACTAGTATATCATTGCTTGCAAATTTCACAGAGTTGGTCATTCGTTCGCTTAAGCAGTGCAACCCGCTGAGTTGTGTTGAAGAGTTTCTTGAAAGGGTGTGATTCGAACCTCATTTTGCCTTCCCTTCCGGAATTTGGACTTGGACTTGTCACTTTTGGGGTTTCCCTAAGGGTCCTGGATCTTGGCATTCAGAACCAAGGCTTGGTATGCAAAACCCGGGAGTGCCGGTACCACACTCCAAGTGGCTCTAGGCGTCTCAATGTAAGTGGTTTTGAAGCCCCGAAATCCATCACGGTCGCATACGGCCCTCTCGTGTTTGTGCGCTTAAAAACGTTGGTTTAGTCAAACATGAAGAAACACACAAATCAGTGACCAACCAATCACCACATCATCGCGCCACCAAAGAGTCACAGCAGCTACCATCACAACGTCACCATCAGGACAGAATCCTTCATTTCAAGGAAGGGACAGTTGCAATCAGTCATTTCACTCAACAATGTCGTAGCTGCGCAAAGGAGAGACCATACCCCCTGAAAAGAATCGCACTGAAAATAGGGGGAAGCTGGTCCTTTTCCTTACGGGTGTATTGGACACTAGCGTATGTGCCAGCTGGCACTCATTCCACTCATTGGTGGATTGCCTTTTCACCTTGTGTCCCGCTATTGTTTGTCTATTTGAGGTCTCACAATTGGGACCCTGAATAGTGGTGGTGTCCTTTTGTTTCCTTTTAAAGCGCTTGCCTTGTTTGGCATTTGTGTTGCCACTAGGCCGTTCCTCATGGGCGAAACTGAGAGGGTTGAATTCTGAGACCGTCTAGAAAGTTTCAGCATGTGCTTCCTTCTCAGTCGGCAAGCGTTGAACAACGGTGTGCTTCCACGGCCCCTCGTGGCTTGGATAAGCTTATCCATTGGCTACCGGCATCTGCTGAACCTGTGGACTTGGAATCTTTCAGCTTGACTTGGATTGTCTACTTATCGCTTGCTGGCTCAAGTTTCTGTTGGCTCGAGAGGACACTCGCCTGAGTTCCGTAAATTTTCGATCTTGAGCCATGGCATTGCGCTACTACCGCACGTTCATCGACGAAGTGGTCACCATTGAGAATTCGAAGACCGAAGAGAAGCGCGCTTGCAGCATGCCGCCTACAGGTACATGCCTGGAGGAGGAGTGCGAAGAGGAGTTGCGATCTCAGGTGGCGTGCCTCGCAGAGCGAGCTGCCCACCTTGAGCCGCTGCCGCGTGCCGTAGTAAAGCCGGTACAGATGGCGGGGAGTCGTGGACATCCGGACCTTTGCCGCCGCCCGTGCCTGCATTTTGCCGCGGGCGCATGCCTTCACGGCGAGGAGTGCTTGTATTGTCACCAGCCTCACCCAGAGCGCGCCGTGACCCTGGACAAGCGCCAGCGCCTGCTGCTGGGAAGCCTCCCAGAAGCGGACCTCCTCGAAATGCTGGTGCTAGCCTTCGAAGCCAAGCTGCGCGGTGACCTTTTTGGCGTCACCGCCAGGGTTGCCTCGGCTGAGTTGGCCACACGATCCTGGGAGGCCTTGGAAAATCTGCGCCACCTCAGCGATTTGCTGTGAAATGCGCTTGTGCAATGCCAAGTACCACAATCAACACCTTGCGTAGATGAAGGTGAGGGGAGGGTCCCAAACAGAAATGCGCGGTCGCCCTTTTGATTCTTTGCATGGTTTTGGGTCGACCAGTTCTTCATACCAGGCTTTGATTGTGACATTCGGCCTTGCGGAGCCAGCGTTTTGCAGATGCTCGGCCTTGATATCGGCCTCAGCCAGTATTCCAACTACTCTCCCATTCTTTCCAAGGATTCGTTTGTTGGAGAAAATGTCTGAAACCCATGTTCCCTTGGCAAGCTTCTCAAGAAGACCTAGTGACATCAATGTTTCAACTTTGGAGAGGAAATACATCGACTCCGGCCGGTTCCAGAAAGCTCCCAAAAAGGCGGGGGAACACCGCCTTTGGGCAACCGGGACTGGCAAGTGGCCCGCGTCGAGGAGCTGAACAGTGATAGAATTAGTATGTTATATAAGGACTTTCTTTGGCATGTCACCTCAACCGCACAGAGCGTTTGTTCGTTTAAGGTTTCCAAGAAGACAAGCAGGACCGAGCTGTCGCAATGGCTTGACAGCTTGGCCCATTTCAAACTACACTTTTCAGTTCGCGCGCAGGCCACAGACCGAACTCAACGGCTGGGGCGGGCAGCAGGGGGTTGGCGATTTTCGTGATGCTTTTGTTTTTGTTTTTGTTTATTTTTACGGGAAGGGTTTTGTTCCGTTGGCCTTCCTTGCGCCCCAGTCCCATGGCTTCCGTGTTTTTTCTTAGCCCCAGCTCCTGGGCAGGGGCCTTTTTTTTGGCGCCAGCCAGCAGTCGCGGCAGACGCCGGATTAATCCGTCGGCATGTACATTCCCGGCAGTGGTTTGCCATGTTCCGCCGGCGTTCCCTAGAAAGTCACGTGCTCTGGTTGTTTTTGTTTTGTGTTTTTTGTTTTTTTGGGGGGGGGGAGGGGGGCTCGCCAATTTCGATCGCCCCTAATTTTTCACACAAGCCAACAGTTCGATGCTTTGATGCAAATGCCGGCGGAGCAAGCTATGTGGCCTAGAGTCTGGAGACCTTTGGGTGACCTTGAAGCTTGATCCGAGCAGCGATTCCAACTTTTTACGCTACCGGATTCTGTGATGACTTGCCTTTTGCCAGCCGAACTCAAAGCGGCTGCAGACTGAGCTGAAATAGCAGAGGCGTATGGTACATGATTGGCCTTCTTGTTTCCTGACGGTTTGGGATGCTGGCATGCTCACATCTATCGGTTGAGTCCTGATGTTAGCAGCTCTTAGACAGAAGACAGCGCGAGCAGAGTGCCCACGATTTTGCCGTGCTCCTTGCGAGCCAAGCTCCACATGCTTTTTGAAAGCCTCGCTGAAATTACTAGTATATCATTGCTTGCAAATTTCACAGAGTTGGTCATTCGTTCGCTTAAGCAGTGCAACCCGCTGAGTTGTGTTGAAGAGTTTCTTGAAAGGGTGTGATTCGAACCTCATTTTGCCTTCCCTTCCGGAATTTGGACTTGGACTTGTCACTTTTGGGGTTTCCCTAAGGGTCCTGGATCTTGGCATTCAGAACCAAGGCTTGGTATGCAAAACCCGGGAGTGCCGGTACCACACTCCAAGTGGCTCTAGGCGTCTCAATGTAAGTGGTTTTGAAGCCCCGAAATCCATCACGGTCGCATACGGCCCTCTCGTGTTTGTGCGCTTAAAAACGTTGGTTTAGTCAAACATGAAGAAACACACAAATCAGTGACCAACCAATCACCACATCATCGCGCCACCAAAGAGTCACAGCAGCTACCATCACAACGTCACCATCAGGACAGAATCCTTCATTTCAAGGAAGGGACAGTTGCAATCAGTCATTTCACTCAACAATGTCGTAGCTGCGCAAAGGAGAGACCATACCCCCTGAAAAGAATCGCACTGAAAATAGGGGGAAGCTGGTCCTTTTCCTTACGGGTGTATTGGACACTAGCGTATGTGCCAGCTGGCACTCATTCCACTCATTGGTGGATTGCCTTTTCACCTTGTGTCCCGCTATTGTTTGTCTATTTGAGGTCTCACAATTGGGACCCTGAATAGTGGTGGTGTCCTTTTGTTTCCTTTTAAAGCGCTTGCCTTGTTTGGCATTTGTGTTGCCACTAGGCCGTTCCTCATGGGCGAAACTGAGAGGGTTGAATTCTGAGACCGTCTAGAAAGTTTCAGCATGTGCTTCCTTCTCAGTCGGCAAGCGTTGAACAACGGTGTGCTTCCACGGCCCCTCGTGGCTTGGATAAGCTTATCCATTGGCTACCGGCATCTGCTGAACCTGTGGACTTGGAATCTTTCAGCTTGACTTGGATTGTCTACTTGATCGCTTGCTGGCTCAAGTTTCTGTTGGCTCGAGAGGACACTCGCCTGAGTTCCGTAAATTTTTGATCTTGAGCCATGGCATTGCGCTACTACCGCACGTTCATCGACGAAGTGGTCACCACTGAAAATTCGAAGACCGAAGAGAAGCGCGCTTGCAGCATGCCGCCTACAGGTACGTGCCTGGAGGAGGAGTGCGAAGAGGAGTTGCGAGCTCAGGTGGCGTGCCTCGCAGAGCGAGCTGCCCACCTTGAGCCGCTGCCGCGTGCCGTAGTAAAGCCGGTACAGATGGCGGGGAGTCGTGGACATCCGGACCTTTGCCGCCGCCCGTGCCTGCATTTTGCCGCGGGCGCATGCCTTCACGGCGAGGAGTGCTTGTATTGTCACCAGCCTCACCCAGAGCGCGCCGTGACCCTGGACAAGCGCCAGCGCCTGCTGCTGGGAAGCCTCCCAGAAGCGGACCTCCTCGAAATGCTGGTGCTAGCCTTCGAAGCCAAGCTGCGCGGTGTTGCCGAGCCCCGTGCCGCCCGCATCCGCGCTTTCCTCGAGGTGTTGGAGAGGGCCGCGGCGGCCGTGCCCGCGGGGCGCCGGGTGGCTTTGCAGGGGAGGCTCCAGGTGGACCAGCGGAAGCTCCAGCAGAAGTTGCAGCAACTGAGCTTGGCCAACCTTTTTGGCGTCACCGCCAGGGTTGCCTCGGCTGAGTTGGCCACACGATCCTGGGAGGCCTTGGAAAATCTGCGCCACCTCAGCGATTTGCTGTGAAATGCGCTTGTGCAATGCCAAGTACCACAATCAAAACCTTGCGTAGATGAAGGTGAGGGGAGGGTCCCAAACAGAAATGCGCGGTCGCCCTTTTGATTCTTTGCATGGTTTTGGGTCGACCAGTTCTTCATACCAGGCTTTGATTGTGACATTCGGCCTTGCGGAGCCAGCGTTTTGCAGATGCTCGGCCTTGATAACGGCCTCAGCCAGTATTCCAACTACTCTCCCACTCTTTCCAAGGATTCGTTTGTTGGAGAAAATGTTTGAATCCCAAGTTCCCTTGGCTAGTTTCTCAAGAACACCTAGTGACATCAATGTTTCAACTTTGGAGAGGAAATACATCGACTCCGGCCGGTTCCAGAAAGCTCCCAAAACGGCGGGGGAACACCGCCTTTGGGCAACCGGGACTGGCAAGTGGCCCGCGTCGAGGAGCTGAACAGTGATAGAATTAGTATATTATACCAGTAAAGCCGGCAAGCCGGGTGGCGGAAGTTTCAATAATATAAAAACTATACTGTAGTTCTCTTTCTCTTTCTTTTCTTGACTCTTTTTCTCCGTCATTCTTTCTTTCTTCCTTTCTTTCCTTCCTTCCTCCCTTCTTTCCTTCTTTCTATCTGTCTTTTCTTTCTTTCTTTCGTTTGCTTGTCTATCTATCTTTCTCTACCGATCTATACCCAGCTACCTGTCTATCTATCTCTCGTGTTATCTATCTATCTGCTTATCTATCTATCTATCTATCTATCTATCTATCTATCTATCTATCTATCTATCTATCTATCTATCCATCTCTCTATATCCCTCTATCTCTGTCTCTCTCTTTCTCTATTTGTCTCTCGATCCCTCTTTCTATCTATCTTTCTATCTCTCTATCTCTCTTTCTTTCTATCTATTTATCTCTCGATCTCTTTCTCTATCTCTTTCTATCTATCTATCTATCCATCTATCTCCCGCGTATCTATCTATCTATCTATCTATCTATCTATCTATCTATCTATCTATCTATCTATCTATCTCTATATCTCTCTGTCTACCTATCTATCCATCTCTCTCTCTCTCTCTCTATCTGTCTATCTCTCTATCTATCTATCTATCTATCTATCTATCTATCTATCTATCTATCTATCTATCTGTCTATCTCTCTATCTATCTATCTCTATATCTCTCTGTCTACCTATCTATCCATCTCTCTCTCTCTCTCTCTCTCTCTATCTGTCTATCTCTCTATCTATCTATCTATCTATCTATCTATCCATATGTATTTCTAATTATCTATAGATCTACCTATCTATCCATCTCTCTATCTACCTCTCTCTCTACCTATCTATCTTTCTATCTATCTACCTCTCTATCTATTTATCTATAGCTATCTATCTATCTTTCTTTCTTTCTATCTTTCTCTATCTATCTACCTATCTATGTATCTCTCTCTATCTCTGTTTCTATCTATTTATCTATCTCTCTATCTATCTATCTATCTATCTATCTGTCTATTTATCTATCTGTCTGTTTATCGTTTATGTATTTGTTTATTTATCTTTCTGTCTATCTATCTATCTATCTAGCTATCTACCTATCTCTCTTTTTTTCCTATTTATATATCTCTCTATCTCTCTCTATCTGTCTATCTCTCTATCTATCTATCTATCTATCTATCTATCTATCTCTCTCTCTCTCTATCTATCTATCTATCTCTCTATCTCTTTGTCTCTCTCTCTCTCTGTCTATTTATCTATCTATCTTGCTCTCTCTCTCTCTCTATCTATCTATCTATCTATCTATCTCTTTCTCTATCTCTTTCTATCTTGACTTCGCGTACTACTTTCGTACTTAAAAGTTGCGATTTTCGAGCCCCACTGCGAAAGTGGACTTCACGTACTACTTTCGTTCTTAAAAGTTGCGATTTTCAAGCCCCAGCTGCGAAAGTGGACTTCACGTACTACTTTCGTACTTAAAAGTTGCGATTTTCGAGCCCCAGCTACGAAAGTGGACTTCGCGCACTACTTTCGTACTTAAAAGTTGCGATGTCCAAGCCCGGCTGCGAAAGTGGACTTCGCGCACTACTTTCGTACTTAAAAGTTGCGATTTTCAAGCCCCAGCTGCGAAAGTTGACTTCGCTTACTACTTTCGCACTTAAAAGTTGCGATTTTCGAGCCCCGGCTGCAAAAGTTGACCTTGCAAAAGTGCTGCGCCTGCTACGAATTCTGCACTTGACCCCACGAAATATGTACATGACCTTGTGAAAGTGCTGCGCCTGCCACGAAATATGCGCGTGACCCTGCGGAAATGCTGCCCCTGCCACGAAATATGTACTTGACCCTGCGACAATGACGCCTCTGCCACGAAATCTGTTCCTGACCTCGCGAAAATGCTGCCCCTGCCACGAAATCTGCATGCGCCGCCTTGCGCGTCCGTGCCAATGGGATTTGCGATGCGTCCGTGCCAGAAGTAAGAAAATGCCGCGCCTGTCACGAAATCTGCACTGGACCTTGCGAAAGTGATGCACCTGCCACGAAATCTGTACCCGACCTTGCCAAAATGCTGCGCCTGCCACGAAATTTGAACCTTGCGAAAGTGTGCGCGTCCGTGCCAATGGTCCCGGCGCGACCGTCCCGAGCCCGTCCCGAGCCCGTCCCGAGACCGTCCCGAGCCCGTCTCCGTCAGACGCCGCGACCGGGGTAGCTTTCAGCCAGCCGGAGAAGCCAAAACCCGCAGAGGGTTGCACTTTTTGCAGATTTCTATTCCCCCACCACACGTATACGCACGTTTTCTCGCATGCATTCATTCTTTCTTCATCTCATCTTTGCGCAGAGCTACCTTTCAATTAGTTTCCGTAACTCGGAAGTTTCCTTCGAAACTTCCTTTGATAAGGACTTTCTTTGGCATGTCACCCGCACAGAGCTTTTGTTCGTTTAAGGTTTCTAAGAAGACAAGCAGGACCGAGCTGTCGCAATGGCTTGACAGCTTGGCCCATTTAAAACTACACTTTTCAGTTCGCGCGCAGGCCACTGAACTCAACGGCTGGGGCGGGCAGCAGGGGGTTGGTGATTTTCGTGAGACTTATTCTTTTGTTTTTTTAGCGGGAAAGTTGCGCCCCAGTCCCATCCATGGCTTTCGTGGTTTTTCTTAGCCCCCGCTCCTGAGCAGGGGCCTTTTTTTTTGGCGCCAGCCAGCAGTCGCGGCAGACGCCGGATTAATCCGTCGGCTTGTACGTTCCCGGCAATGATTTGCCATGTTGCGCCGGCGTTCCCTAGAAAGTCACGTGTTGTGGTTTTTTGTTGTTGTTTTTTTTCTTCTTTTTTTTGGGGGGGGAGGGAGGGGGGCTCGCCAATTTCGATCGCCCCTAATTTTTCACACAAGCCAACAGTTCGATGCTTTGATGCAAATGCCGGCGGAGCAAGCTATGTGGCCTAGAGTCTGGAGACCTTTGGGTGACCTTGAAGCTTGATCCGAGCAGCGATTCCAACTTTTTGCGCTACCGGATTCTGTGATGACTTGCCTTTTGCCAGCCGAACTCAAAGCGGCTGCAGACTGAGCTGAAAAAGCAGAGGCGTATGGTACATTATTGGCCTTCTTGTTTCCTGACGGTTTGGGATGCTGGCATGCTCACATCTATCGGTTGAGTCCTGACGTTAGCAGCTCTCAGCCAAGACAGCGCGAGCAGAGTGCCCACGATTTTGCCGTGCTCCTTGCGAACCAAGCTCCACATGCTTTGTGAAAGCCTCGCTGAAATTACTAGTATATCATTGCTTGCGATTTCACAGAGTTGGTCATTCGTTCGCTTAAGCAGTGCAACCCGCTGCGTTGTGTTGAAGAGTTTCTTGAAAGGGTGTGATTCGAACCTCATATTGCCTTCCCTTCCGGAATTTGGACTTGGACTTGAGTCACTTTTGGGGTTTCCCTAAGGGTCCTGGATCTTGGCATTCAGAACCAAGGCTTGGTATGCAGAACCCGGGAGTGCCGGTACCACACCCCAAGTTGCTCTAGGCGTCTCAATGTAAGTGGTTTTGAAGCCCCGAAATCCATCAGGACCCTTAGAGATGGACCGCACGGTCGCATACGGCCCTCTCGTGTTTGTGCGCTTAAAAAATGTTGGTTTAGTCAAACATGAAGAAACACACAAATCAGTGACCAACCAATCACCACATCATCGCGCCACCAAAGAGTCACAGCAGCTACCATCACAACGTCACCATCAGGACAGAATCCTTCATTTCAAGGAAGGGACAGTTGCAATCAGTCATTTCACTCAACAATGTCGTAGCTGCGCAAAGGAGAGACCATACCCCCTGAAAGGAATCGCGCTGATAATAGGGGGAAGCTGGTCCTTTTCCTTACGGGTGTATTGGACACTAGCGTATGCTGGTACTCATTCCACTCATTGGTGGATTGCCTTTTCACCTTGTGTCCCGCATTTTTTTGTCTATTTGAGGTCTCACAATTGGGACCCTGAATAGTGGTGGTGTCCTTTTGTTTCCTTTTAAAGCGCTTGCCTTGTTTGGCATTTGTGTTGCCACTAGGCCGTTCCTCATGGGCGAAACTGAGAGGGTTGAATTCTGAGACCGTCTAGAAAGTTTCAGCATGTGCTTCCTTCTCAGTCGGCAAGCGTTGAACAACGGTGTGCTTCCACGGCCCCTCGTGGCTTGGATAAGCTTATCCATTGGCTACCGGCATCCGCTGAACCTGTGGACTTGGAACCTTTCAGCTTGACTTGGATTGTCTACTTGATCGCTTGCTGGCTCAAGTTTCTGTTGGCTCGAGAGGACACTCGCCTGAGTTCCGTAAATTTTCGATCTTGAGCCATGGCATTGCGCTACTACCGCACGTTCATCGACGAAGTGGTCACCATTGAGAATTCGAAGACCGAAGAGAAGCGCGCTTGCAGCGTGCCGCCTACAGGTACATGCCTGCAGGAGGAGTGCGAAGAGGAGTTGCGAGCTCAGGTGGCGTGCCTCGCAGAGCGAGCTGCCCACCTTGAGCCGCTGCCGCGTGCCGTAGTAAAG